GTAGCCACCACGTGTCATCCTCCCGGATGCCCTGTCTTGTCGTCGTAAAGAGCTGCCACGTGTCCTTTATCAGCTCTCTCGCCAAAGGGCTACCGCTCGGTGGTCGACACTACTGCTCGGGCAACTCCCGGTCAGATCCCGACCGGGTTCTTCGCATGAAGCCCGACCTGTTACCTGCAAAAACAAAGAGAGAAAAACAAAGGCAAGTCGATCGGGGTAAAGCTTATGGCGGTCGGGATATTCCCTACCAGGCACAATGGTGAGAACTGCCCAAAGCACACACCACCACCAACGATGGAAACTCACCAGACAAAACATACTGGCGGAGATCCGCCGACGCCAACGACCAGCGAGGCTAACGGGCAAAACACATCCAGGTTTGGAAACACGGTTCTCACAAAGGAAAGGCCCTTAATCAGGCCGGAAATCTTGCAGGATTATGGGGATTGGATGACCGTTCGCAAACCAGAAAGGAAACATTATAATGACAATAATAAGCGGGATTCTAAGGGGTCTAAAAATGGTAACAATGGGAATGATGAGAATAAAACGAAAATGGAAAAACAAGCAGACAATAGGGGATCGATGCTCTAGCTGGAAATGATAGGGAGGAATGCCAGGAGGTAACAGAGGAAATCCCAACGGATACTAATGAGCCTAAGAAAAAAGCTAGGAAACGATACAACAACAAAGGGATGGACAAAGGCAAAAGACCGGCAGTTCAAGTGTCGGAGAAGCAAGTCCAAGGAAACAATACCCATGGTCTCCATAGAAAACAAAGCCAGGCTGCAAGCACTTCAACCAAAAGACCAAACAATCCGCGGAAGATAGGGAAGGACATCCATCAAGCAGCTGTAGCCAAAAAACATACTCTAGTCAAAGGTGATCACAAAGGAAACAAGAGTTCAGAAATTGTCAACCTGGACACGGAAGAGGGCGACATGCGGATCCTCATGCCTGAAACTGAAGTGACAGAACACTCAGGTGATCCTCCGGACGGCTCACAACCATATGGAGGAACGGCGACTTGGAAGATGATGAGTTTGAGGACAGCCTTGAGCCGTCTGATGAGGGTGAAATGGAGATGGAGCTCTAAGTTGCTCCATCTCGGGTTTGTTTCCTCCGTTGTGTTTTCTTTTGCTTTTGTTGTGTTTGTCTCTCTCCTTCTTTTGTTTTTGTTTTTATGATAGTTATCACTTGGAACTGTCAAGGAGTGGCCTCAAAAGAGTTCATAAGAGCCGCCAAATGGTTGATCAAAAACCATAAACCCGACATTCTTTGCCTCATGGAGACGAGAACCTCGGGTGTCAATGCAAATATCATTTGTAAAAAGCTTGGTTTTGAGCATTGGGTAAGAGTGGAAGCGCTTGGTTACAATGGAGGGATCTGGGTACTTTGGCATGATGTCCTAAACATTGATATCATTAGCTCTCACCCCCAATTCATTCACATGGCGGTGACTGATCAGGAACATCAGAACTGGACCCTCACGGCCATTTATGGTAGTTCGACCTTGCATCTAAGGCGAAGACTTTGGAGTGATCTTAGTCAAACAAAAGTCACCATGAATGGCCCCTGGCCCCTTGCGGGAGATTTCAACGCCATCCTTCATAATGAAGAAACCTCCAACCTAACTGGGACAGGAGCTCACCGTAATGAGGATTTCCGAAACTGGATTTTTAATGAGGGACTTGTCGACCTAGGGTTTTCTCGACAGAAATATACCTGGAAACGGAGTCAGTCCACCTTCAAGGGAGCCAGGTTAGATAGGGCTCTATGCTGTTTGGATTGGATGAATATGTTTGAGAACACCAATGTCACACACCTCGCAGCCAACGCCTCGGATCATTGCCCGGTGAAGATCTGCATTCAGAATGCTCCCAGAAATAATAAACCTCACTCTTTCCAGTTCCAAGGGGCCTGGACGAGTCATACTGGCTTTATGGATGTAGTCAAGAATACCTGGAATGCAGAAGCTAACGTCTGGAACAACAAGGATAATATGGCCGAAATTTTAAAAAACTGGAACATAAACACCTTTGGTAACATTCATGTTCGAAAAAGAAGGCTAGAGAGGTGGCTTGAAGAGGTCACCAAACCCAAAAACATGGGTGGGCTTGGCCTCCGATCCTCCAAAGACGTGAACCTAGCCTTCATGGAAAAAATGGGTTGGAGACTTCTCAATGACATGCAAAGCCTCTGGAGCAGAGTTCTCAAGGAAAAATATGCACATGATAGATATGATTTGGAAATTTTTACGCTGAAACAAGGGGCTTCCAATGTTTGGAGAGGCATCACCAGAGCCATACCCCTTGTTAAAAGAGGTTTCCGCCACAACATTATGTTTGGTAAAGAAGTAAAATTCTGGGATGATGCATGGATCACCAAGACCCCCCTCGGTGAAATCATCAACCATGATGACACATTAGGAGATCTACACTAGGTAGCAGACTTTTGGTGTGACAGTCATAGTTAGAAATGGGAAGAAATGTTGGACCTCCCGCCGGAATTATGAAGCATTATGGCTTTAATGGAACCGCAAGAAGGACATGATGAAGTCTTCTGGATGGAGGAGCCCTCTGGTAAGTTCTCTATCCGATCAGCCTATAACATGATTCATGGATATGCCTTGGATGTGCAGGAACCTCTTTGGAACAATTTGTGGAAACTGAAAGTACCCTCGAAAATGAAGATGCTCCTTTGGATCATCCTACATGAGAAGATCATGGGAAATGCAAAGAGAAAAAAATGAGGCTTCACTTTGACGGGGGGTTGCCATTTATGCCCAGGGCAGGAGGAAACCACCTCCCACATCTTCAGGGACTGTCGGAAGGCGAAGGAAGTCTGGAACAGTTTGAAACACGTGATAGCGGACTGGAACCCTTAGCGTGCTCACCTAAAGGACTGGATCACTACAAATATTCGCCCCGACGAAACTGAGGGAATCAATAAACCGGTTCTCTTTGCAGCAGTGATCTGGTAGATTTGGAGATGGAGGAACAATCATATTTTCCAGGGAGAGATGATCACCATCGAAAGGAAAGCTATGTGGCTTTTAAAAGTCAGAAAAAGAAATGCACAGAGCCTTCGAAAATCATAATACAATGAGCAACCAAAGGATCAAACGAGATACCAAGAGCCTTCACTAGAGCCCGTCACTCAACCACTCATGGACCTTGAACGTTGATGCTAGCGTTAAACACTTAACGGGTAATGTAGGTCTCGGGGGCATCCTTAGAATGGCAGATGGGAATTGGAGGGGTGGGTTCTATGCAAGGTCCACACATCAAGATGCTTCCATTGTTGAAGCTGAAGCCATCTCAAGGGGTCTCACCTGGGCATGGAGCCTGGGTATCAAGGATGTTGAAGTGCAAACTGATGCGAAAAAGGTGGTCACTTGGATAGCGGATAACTTACAACTAAGAGGACCGATCAGCGATTATATTAAAGATGCAAGAAGATGGCTGAAAGTGAACTGGAAGGTTTCAATCATATACATCCATCGCGAGCAAAACAGGAGTGCTGATGCTGTGGCTAACATAGGAGCGCATATGGGCAATAATTGGAGAAACCTTGTGAAGTGTCCCCCTAGCATGGAAGAAACTGTCACTCGGGAATGCATGCGTGCTACATGCCTACGGTGAAGTAGCTAGTAGCGGGGTCACCACCCCCCCCCCCCCCCCGATATAAAAAATACCATATGAGATCTTTTGAGTATAGTGATTTTGTAACGTTTAGTTCTAAATTTTTAAATTGACCATTCGTGGTCCATCAATTTTCAAATTGTTACCATATGTGGTCCAAGTTAACCACACATGATTATTGTATAATCAATGCCACAAAAATAGCAAACTCTATTATCAAAGAAATAAGGAAACAGACGACAATTTGACACCAGATATCCGGAGGTGTGGAAAGAGCAACTGTGAGAAGCGAAAAAAACCATCAAAACACGACGATTGTTCGTGGAGGTTTCTATAGAAAGACCCCTTGGTTTTGACAAACGGATCACAATTACAGGTACCTGGGAGCATACCGATGAAATGAACGAAATACGAGCTATGGTCCTTCTAAGAAGACCACGACTAATTAAAACTTGGACTACTTATGGTAACAATTTAAAAATCAAAATTTAAGACTAAAAATGACAAAATTACTATATTATGAGGACCATAGGGCATTAACTCTAATTGAATTTATTACCGATTTAGTCCCTTAACTATTGTGAAATTATCAATTTAATCATCAACTATATTTCTTATCCAATTAAGTCCTCCGACTATTAAAATGTTAACCAATTTGGTCCTTTGCTCAATCAGCCGTCTAACCACCGTTAATCTGGAGGTTACTTTCAGAATTTCAGCTCTCCATGGTCTGCCCAGGGCTGCCCGTACATTCAATAGACTAAATAATGCCCGCGAAATTCCTAATTCCTAATGTCGCGAAATCCCTAAGTTCGATAGTTGGTGCGAGAGAGACCTGCTGCGTGAAGAGATTGGTTCGCAATATCACCTCAATTGGTCCGCAATATCACCGCGAAAGCCCAGGCTAGTTCGACTGACTCCAAAGGCACCAGAAACTCTATGATCAGCTCTGGAGGCACCAGAAACTCTCCGATCGGCTCTGGAGGCACCAGTTACTGTTCGCTTAGAAGATGCAAGGTAAGTCTAAATGCAGTTCATTATGTATAAATTGGTTGTAATGTTCATATTATTGAGTAATGGGTATTGGGACCACTTTGGATTGCTTATTTTTTTTGAAATTGTATTGCAGTTCATATGTATTGCTTGTATTGCTTAAAATAGTGAGTAGGTGTATTGTAAAACAATTATAAACTGTATTCGGTAATGGGTATTGGGTATTAGGTATTAAGAAGAAATTGTATTGTAGTTCAAATTGGTGTCTTCAGTAGCTTTAGTTTGCAGAAAAAAAAAAAAAAAACAAAACAAAACAAAACAAAACAGTGAGTAGTTTTAAACACATGTTTCCTTTTGTTTCCTTTTGTTTCCTTTCTTACATGGACTATGATGAGTGGGGGATAATGACTTTATGGGAAAAAGTTGAACAATTGGGATATAAGAAAGATGAATGTAGGTGTTTTAGTCAGAGTGATAATGGATTGACTGAGTTAGTATTAGATTTGGAGGCTTGGAACTTGGTCAATTCTATTGTGAGACCTAAGGTACTAGAGATTTGGGTTATTGTTAGGGTGGATGGAGAAGATGAGAGTGCTACTGGAGAAGATGAAAGTGCAGAGGAAGAAAATAACAGTGTAGAAGATAAGTTAGAGAATTTTGAAGGAAGTGATTGTGAAATAGAGCAAGTTGATGATCAGAAGTTCTTGAAATATACAGATCCAGAAGTTGAGTATACAGGTGATGCAAATGTTGGGACCACTCTGGACTGGAAATCAATGGGTATAACAGTAGGAGATATCCTCAGGTAAATGTTTTTTTTAATCTTTTTGAAGTAATTAGGACAGCATCACCATTTAAATCAATTTACTTATTTTGTTTTAACCAAGCAGAGAAGAAATAGAGCAGCAGCACCGGCTGAAGTTCAAGTGAATGTGGCAGCAGCAGAGGGTGAGTTTCCAGTGAATTTGGCAGCATCAGAAGGCCAGAAGTTGAATTCCCATTGAATGTGGCAGCAGCAAATGAGGACTCCCATATGCTAGCCATATAGTTCCAGAAGATAAACAAGGTAACCTTTCATCCTTTATTGATTTTTGAAAATCCTAATTTGTAGTTGATCCTTGTTTAACTTTTGAAACTCGTATATTGTAGTTGATCCTTTATTAAGTGTTGGAGACAATATTCAAACATTTGATGATGTCAATTCCCAAATGACAGGTAAGTGTTTTATTTGTAATTGCGATTCATGTATTTGTTTACAAACTTGTTGATTATGTTATTTCCAACACATGTTGTTTGTGTTCAAATGTAATGTAGGACTGCATGGAATACAAAGTGAGGGGGGAATGTCAATTAATACCCATGGAGTGAAGATAAGTTTTGGCCAACCTCCAAAACGAAGAAAAATCATAGCTGATGGAACCAAAGGCAAACAAGTTGTTGAATCTGCTCCTCCATCCAATATAGATTAGGTTGTCTGTTTAGTATGGATTTATGCTATGATGTATGGATGACAATTTGTTTTGGAAACTTATTTCGCCAATGTGTATGGGTGAAAGATTTGTCTTTAATGTTGACAGTTTTAGCAACCACTTTGTCACCAGTTTTAGCAAAGAGTGTGTGCCTATGACAATTGCTTTGTTTTTAGTTATGGTTCACCAACTTTGTGCTTATTTTGCCTAATAATCTCAGCTGTCATTAATTTGGCCAGCTATTGAACTTTCAACAGAAATTCCAGTGAAGTCTCAAATAGATACCAATTGAAATACACATCTACAATCTATTTCATTTCTTAAAAAAGGAATTGAAACTCATAATATAATGTAAGTTAAATCCACAAAGTAAACATGAGGCACATATTCATAGAAAAATCACCACATACTGAAACTTTAATCCACACAGTAAAGACTAATCCATATTAAAAGGGTCAAATTGAGCATTCATTCCAGTTAGGCCAAACTGACCTTTCGTTTCAATAAATCAAGTTCTACATTTTCAGTTTCAACCACTCTAAGCTAAAATAAGTTGTCCAAACCCATCACTACTAGGCTTCAAATTACTAACAAACACTACCATTGATACAAAAAGAAAAAGAAATAAAATTAATACAGCTGCACTTTAATTTCAGTTTCACACTCCAATTTTCTGACCCTGCTATATCCCTTTATTCCCAGTATTCACAGGGGCATTTCCACAAACAGCTGCAGTGACCCTGATTTCTGTTGCCTTTTTGTCTGATTGAGCTTCAACCAGACCTTTCCCCTTACTTGTTGGATCAAATTTGTTGCTCTCCTCAGATTTTGAAGTCCCTTTCCATAACCGGCTTCAGAACACCAACACCTTCCATCTTTTTGAGGTTCATTGATCTCACTCTGATTTTCCGCTTTCGAAAATGTCACATGCAGCGATGGAGTTGTCTTCTCTGAACCTCCGATCGCCCATCGTTGTTAGCATATCTACCTTGCATAGCTTCAAACTGATCTTGTTGAAACAAATCGTGAAGAGAATTTCTCGCTTGGATGCATATAGATAAATGACAATCTAGGGTTATTATGTTAACTAGTATTGCACCCGTGCGATGCACGGCCATGATATTATAATGTAATATATAAAAGCTTGGTATATTGTATATATATATATAGTACGAATAAAGTTGTAGACATAATAAAAAGACAAAATATATTATATTGGCGTTCCATAAGCATAAAAAAATTACACATTATTAAAGATTTCTTTGTAAACTACATTTTGAGTTTTGTTTAAAAGGCCTCTAGATTCCCCACAAATTAACACCTTAAGACCGTCAGGATTACTCACCCTAGAAACTGCTACATATAACTGGCCATGGTTGAAAACTGGTTTTTTGAGTAACAAACCAACCTGTGAAAGCGTTTGACCTTGACTTTTGTTGATTGTCATTGCATATGACAACATAATTGGAAACTGCTTTCTTTGAAACTTAAATGGAAGTCTTGGGTCTGAAGGAGTCAAAGATAGCCTTGGTATCAACACATTTGTACCTGCGTTGTTGCCACATAGGATTTGTGCCTCAATAACATGATTTCCCAGTTGTGTGACTACTAACCTTGTACCATTGCAAAGTCCCAGTGAGTGATCTATATTTCTCAGCAGCATAATTGGAGTACCAACTTTCAAAGTTAAACAATGGTTGGGGACTCCTGAGCATCTCAAACTATTTAAAAATTCTGTTGTGTGTACCTCAGATTGCATATCAACATTTGCCTCTGACTTGCAAAGAGAATCACAACTCAAATATGTTATTGATGAGGCTTGATTCAGACCGTTCATGTATTCATTCACTTCGTCTACAACATCTAATGTTGGAGCCAGAATAGCTCTACTCTCGAGTTGTCTTGCATCCATGTTTCCAGAACGGTAATCTGGAAATGTGCTGTTAACAATTTGTCTAATGGGATCGCCCTCATTTTCCAATACAAAGGATGAAGGAATCATTATATTGCAATCAACACCATTGTCTTCCCCAACATTTCCATCACCTACATCTGCAATCCACTTGGCAAAACAACCTAACTTCTCAACCTCCTCTTCATCACTAATACTTCGCAATCTTAAATTCTTCGTTAAACGAAGAACTTCACAATTATTCCACAAGTAAGAAGAATTAATACTGGCTTGTACTATATCTTGTCTAGTACCTTTTGGAATAACTGGAAGAATTTGTCTAAAGTCTCCCCCCAAAACAACTGTTTTACCTCCAAAGGTCATCGTTGAGCTCCTAGGATTTGTGAAACGCATTAAATCTCTCATTGTCCTGTCTAATGCTTCAAAACAATGTTTGTGCATCATCGGTGCTTCATCCCAAATAATAAGTTTGGCTTTGATGATCAATTCAGCCAGTGCACTTCCCTGCTTAATGTTGCAAGTGGAATCTTCATTAACAGAAATTGGTATAGCAAATCTAGAGTGTGCAGTCCGTCCACCAGGCAGAAGTAATGAAGCTATACCGCTTGACGCAACATTTAATACAACTTCACCTTTGGACCTTAGAGCTGCTGAAAGTGTCTTCCACAAAAAGGTTTTGCCTGTACCACCATAACCATACACAAAGTACATGCCACCCATCTCTGACTGGACGTCTGCAACCACCTTATTATAGATGAGTAACTGTTCCTCAGTTAGTTTCTGAACCAAAGAATCATGTTCATGCCTTAGAGCTTCCCGATCATATGACATTTCCTCGAACAACAACCTATTTCCCTGAAACAAATCACCGTTTTGATCTGGCATTGGCATCGGTGGATAGTCTGCTAGAGATTTGTTCCAAGCATTCAACAACTTCTCCATTTCAAACAATGCATAATTCTTTTTTTGAGAATCATTGAGAATTAGATCTAAAAATAAAAACAAAATTGTAAGATATTATAGACAAAAAATGGATACGTACATATGAGATAATAATTAATTATTACCTGAAGTTGAGATGTTTCTTCTACACGTAAATTCAGCATCATCTGATAAGTAATGCCAGACCACCTCCCACACATCTTCTGGCTTTGACATTGCATTCGATGTCAATAGTGTAACAAACAATTTTCTTAAGGAATGTGCCGAAGACCAAACTGCTGCCTCACTGATTGCATCGACATACTCTTTATCATCTTCAATTAAACCACGTGCATAACATGCATCTCTAAATGAATTATATTGTACGCCATCCACTTTTTTAATATCATCAAATGACGTTGGTCCTCGAACAATGTTAAGTAATCATCTCAAATAAAAGATTTCACCACTATTTGGGGGCACATAAAAGATTCGACCAATTGCCCAATTCCTCTGCCTTGGATGCCATTCCCTTTTATCTTTTTTCCAAACAAATTTAGTGGGCATCTGTGAATATGTCAACTGCCGCGCCTCTGCATAACTTTTATTCGCCTCTAGCCATGCAGTGAACATGCTTTGTGCTACCGTTGGCCGATTTACAACATCATCCACCAAATCATCATCGTGAAATATTACTGAATGCTCATTTGGAAGATGGAAACTCAAACGCTCAACAGATGGATTCCTAAATTGTATGTCAAATGCAAATATCCTCCAAGCAGCCTCACAGGGCGAAATATATCTACAGTCATAGTACATCTTGATTTCATCTATAACCTTTCCCGTAGATTCTTCCACCGCACTATTGTAAAATTCAGCTGTGACCCTGTCATTACCCTTGTTGACGTACTTGAATAAGTACTTTATTGATCTAGATTGGTTGCACCACTCGACATTAATATGAGCTTTGTACTTCATCAGCAAATGTCTATTGTGTGGAACTACATATCTACTATCAAGGGCAATTCCATTTTTCCTTATTGTACGACCATTATCTCTACGGCGATATATCGGATATCCATCAAAATCCACTGTAGAGCTTTCAACAAATTTTTTGGGGTAGAATTTAGAGCACTTACCATTGACCATGCAAGGTGAATTCTTCCTCGCTGCACCACATGGACCATGCATCATAAATTCTTCCACAGCTTTGTAATATTCTGGATCGCACAATTCACTTGGGATCTCAGCAGATATTATCATATCAATGTCTTTTGCAGTAGGATAAGAGTTGCTCTTTGCCAAGAATATCAAAATGTGAGCATGTGGCAATCCCCTTTTTTGAAATTCAATTGTGTAAATTACTGCAGATTGAAACATAGAAAACTTATAATTCAAATATGCTTAATATGGTTAACAAACAAAATTTTGTAATTAAATAGAACAAAGTACCTGCATCAACAACTCCAAAAATGTTTTCTTTCTGGATCTCTTTTATCAGTGCGTTTAATTTCATTTTAAACACACGGCAAATAATATCTGGTCTATCTTCAGATTTGAGATTCCTTGGTTGTAAAAACCTTTCAATCTCAGGCCACTTGGGATTACATGTGAATGTAATAAATAGACTTGGATAACCAATCCATCTACAAATTGCCATTGCATCTTGATAATTCTGCACCATATATCTTGCTCCTCCTGTAAAACTCGATGGCAAAATGATACGCTTTCCTTGGGCTGTAGGATCTACTTCACCACGTGTTAACGCATCTGTCAAACATTTATATGATTCACATTGCAGTGACGTTTGATGAGTCCTAATATAAACCAAGCGTCCGGATTCTATCATGGTATAAGCATCTACCAAATATTGCTGAAACAACCTTCTAGAATAAAGCAATGTTGACATTTCGTTGAACCTATCTTGCAAACGGAATGAAAAATACTCCCTGGGACTAAGTTTACTTCTTGCATTCGAACTCTGACCTGCAACATTGTTAAACTGTATGTCTTCTCTGTAACCGTCTTCACCATAAGGAAAGAGTAATGGGTATTGCAATGGTAGATAAGATGGATGTAATTCAGTTATTCTCTGAAAATGACCAGCTTTAGATTCCACCAAAATATCTCTTTCCCCCATTGTTGGATCTAAATCACCAACAATCAGAGCAGCCACTTCTCCAACCTGTGGCAAGTTATATGTCCTTGCATCTTTGTTCCTCCTTCCGATGAGTTTTATTTTAATATCTCTTCTAGGATTACTTTCCATCTCCATTTTGGCCATGCGAAAACTCTTGACCAAAACATTATTCTCATCTAATGCATCCTTAATGTCTTTAACAATTTCACAATGCAATGTAGTCGTAGAATCATCATCCCTGTTTACAAAAAACAAAATCAATAAATTTAGTTGAATTGATGCAAATACATGCTCATGATCATTTAAAGTAATGTATGTCTGATCGTAACTTACCCAAGTGCACTTAGACGATTGTTGATCTCATTCTCAGTATCATAAATATACAATTGAGCAAACTTTGGACGATCTCCAGGTACTGGTAGCAAGCTGCCCATTAAGTGAAAATTTTGACCATGTAGTCTAAAGACTGGTGGTGCACTACCATTGTTAATTGCTCTGTCAATTTTGCCACCCATGGAAGTAAAGCAAAACATATTGTTAAAGGACCGAATATTTTTCAAGAAATGTGAACTCTTTTGATCTTGGTTAAAGAACAATTGCACTATTGCAGGAGGTGGACAATATATAGGTGCCAACTTGATCTTTCCATGACTGCAACATAGTGAATATTTTGGATTCCGAACACCGGCTGATTTATTAACGCGCTCCTCTAACCAAAACATAGCTCCACAGTGCTGACAGGAATACATTTGATCACCAACATCACCGTAATAATCTATAGACCAAAAGTAAGTGTTAGTATGAAACTCAAATATTTTATCTAATTAATAGTATATTACCCACCAGTACGAATTGTCAACTTTGAGGTAGTATCATGGACCGCGTTATCAAAATCTGCAATCAATCGACGTTGCATTTCCATATTTTGCGACAACCCGCATTGATCCACAACGCATGACTGTGGTGTACTAACTAAAAGATGCAAATAAATACGAATATTCAATTATTCCATTATCAAAATGTAACTGATTGTATTCCAATTATAATAAAGAATTGAATTGTTTTATATAATTTACCATTTGTCAAATTTGCTAAAGGCCTTCGAATTTCTTTGTCTTCCAGCCGTGTAACTTCCACGACGGTTGATCGCGATGTACTTGGTTCAATATAATTTTGGCAAACTATTATGAAAAATAAAAACAACAAAGCTATTAGAATAACTTATATTAGAGAGATATAATATAAAATATTTAATATACTATACACAGTTAACCAAGACCATGAATGCATTTTAAAAGTGTATAACTTTGACTTGAAAAGAAATGATTGTTGGTAAGAATTACTAACGGAAAGTCAACCAAAAATAAAAAGTTAAAAAAGTACAAAAAAGATTATATCGTTTTAGAATTAGAATTGCTCATACCATTGCTAGAGTTGAGATTTTGCGGTGGAAGCCCATTACGATGTCCCTGAATTACACGCTTCTTATTTTGAGTTGCTGAATTAATGCATGTAAGTTGAGATCTAAAGCTTGTAGACTGTACTGGGATTGAATAGTCTACAAAAAGATTGTAATAATTTAAAGAACCAATAAGTTGAATCTAAAAAAAAAAAAATACAACCTACCATAAAAACGATATAAATTTGGTCGATGTTAATAAAAATTGATATATGTGAAAACAATTACACAAACACAAAAATTCGAGAGAAATCATTTTACCAGGCAACACGGGCGTTGTGGGTGTGTTCAATGTTACATTTTCCGGCGAATCATTTTCTGTAAAAAAAAAAAAATACAGAAATTGTAACCAATTAAACAATTTATAATAATATAATTATTTATACGCCACTTATTGAAACAAAAGTATATGAATGTATGTATTACTTTAAACAAATATAACAAAAATATAAACCATATTTATAATTATAAAACAATTTAAATATTAATATAAAAAATTAAATACATGTTCAATTTTACATACTATTAATGTCACTAAGTTATACTTTTAATTTACATTTTTTCAAGATCATTCATTTATTTAAAAAGAGAATCTATACTGACAGTAATAAATAATATTAATAGAGTATATAATAAATAATATTAAATAAAATAAACCGAGTATATAATAAATCCTACTAACACTAATAATAACAAATCCTACTATATAATATAATCCTACTATATAATAATAACAATATAACAATAGTCTAAATAATAATAATAATAATAATAATAATAATAGTCTTAAAATAATTACACTAAAATCCTACTATATACCCATTTACTAAACCCTCTACCCAGCCCATAACTCCCTACGGCCCACCCATCAAAACCCACCCCAGCCGACCGACTCCCCAAACATACTCTCCCTCATCCCCTCTCATCCTCGCTCTGTGGTCTCCGATCCAACATCCGTCTTCTTCGCGTTTTGGTTTCGATTGCCTAATCGCGACGACCGGATATGGAAATCGAAGCCATGAGGGACCTTAAGCTCACTAAATCCCCATTTTCAAAGCTCTATACACGAAAAGCTTTGATCGTGTAAGTTTTATCGGACTAATCGAAACCCTAAACCGAGATATTGTTCGCCAAATTAGTTCCGATATCCTTGCTAGTTTTGTTGATTACTTCTAGCTTGTTATTCGAAACCCAGAAAACATATGAAAAAAGCCAAAAATTGAAACCCTAAAGCGGTAGAAATTCCGTCGAAGGAGTTCTTATGTTTATGGAAATCTAAGCCTAAACTGGGTTTAATTCTGTCAGAAGTAACGGCGTCCTCACATGCCAAAGATAAGGAAAAAACAGCCTTTCTTAAGATAAGTACATTTTGCCGATTTTTTTTTTTGTTCTTAATATATTATTTGTCTATATGAGTATAAATATCACGTTATCATTTGCATAAACATTATGATAGTTCTTAGTTTATAATCAAATACTGTTACAACGTTTCTTAACTGCAAGATTTCGAAATCATTCTATTAATTTCATTATTATTATTATGCTAATACTAATTTTTACCATTGAACTAAATAAACTGTTCTCTAATTGTGATTAAACAGGTTGTACTTATAGATCTAATTATATAAGCAAGATGGAGTAGCATGCAGATTCTAAATCTCCCACCAAAAGCAATGATGTAATACAAATAAGAGTATGAAAGTAATACAGGTTTGAAATTTTATTTAAAGTACCTTGGTTAGATAGTGTGTTCTTCCTTTTTGCGCCGATGATTATTGATGAAGTTAATTTCCGCATTGTTTTAGACTGAGTATGTTTGGATAGTGTGTTTGTGTAAGTGGTGATTTTAGGTGAATGTTAAATTTGTCCAGTGATCTCATCAATTTGAATCTGAGAATGTCTAATTTCAAAGTATAATTACAAAGCATTGGGATTTGGTTAAAACTAATGATTACTGTAATTGGGAAGTATAAAAGCCATAGTCCATCAGTTATTCAATTTTACATTTGTATATGTCTATTTTGTGGATTTCAAAATTGATTACAACTGCCATCTAATTGACTACATTTGTAAATCTGTTTGTTTTTATTTATATGTTAGGATTTTGGCTTTATCGCAAATGAACTATGTTATTCATTTTTTTTTTTATTGTAGTTCAATTCTAACATGATTTTTTGAGAAACTGGCAAATGATGATATTACTTTCTGATGCCACTTATGAAATTACTTAAGATGTTGTAGAATTTGTAGTTTAATATTAGTGATTTGGAATGAGGACTGAATCAGAAGAGATGAAAGAAAGATTGAAGAAGACCAGGGAAGTCATGATTGTACCTGTTTTTGTAATACTGTCCGATTGCCGTTTACTGGAAATTTCCATTTTCAAATGTAATATTATATATTTTGAAACATATGTGAATGAATTTGAAAATACTTGAGATTGAACAGTGTGTTCTATTATTTTCTTTAATCTTTTCTTTAAAAGCCAAACATTCTAGGTTATAGTTTTTGTAAGCATCTAAGGAGTGAGTACAGAATGATATATTAACAGCATATCTTTCAAATTATCTAGCTTTAAAGTACAGGAAAAGGACCGAAATAAATAGTGAGTATAGTGAATTGATTCAAAAAAAACTCATTAGTTGGTGTGTAAAGCTGTAAAAGACAGATTTGTAATGGTAAAGTGAATAACATTACAAAAAAATTTAAAAGAAATGTCTACAACTTTTTTTGTTTAATACCACAGCCTTAGCCTTCTTCAACATACTATTGGGTGATAATTGATCAAAAATACATCACATTGTAGAACCGGGTTCAATTTGTTGATGTGTCTAATCAGTTGTAAACTTTTTAAATGTTTCCAGACATGGACTGCTGGAATCTTAAACAGATTCAGTATCCTATGCTGAAAAAAAAAGCCATTACAAAATAAAGGTGTTGAAAATAAAGACTTTGTCCTTTTCAAAAAGAGGTAGCTGCTTAAATTTTTTTCAGTTGGAATTATTGTGGGAGAAGTAAAGAAATCTGTGATTCTTGGAAGAAATTCCAGGAAGCCTAGCCTTAGGAGCAGCCAGCTAGCTAGTAGAGTTATAGCTTTCTCTCTAGGAAATGGGGCATTGGGGAAAAATTAATCTGTACTTTCAAAATTGTTGTTTTTGTTTCTTTGTAAACTTGTTATATACAGTTACAATCTTGATTTGACTACAAATGTAAAGGACTTCATTTAGTTGCCAGCTCCAAACACAAAAAAATGATTTACTTCTTCTTGTAGCAAAGTATTTTATAGTTTAATAATTAATATGTATTAAAATACATATATGCAATTGTTTTATTTGTGAGTACATTTGATTAGTGTCTAAGTTTCAAAAAATATAAAGATCAAAATGACCAAATGTAGTGGCAAACTGTTTATAATTTGTAGCATTATTCACAACCGAAAGCCTTTGAATAATTATAAGATATAATATGTTATTTCTACTAACAGTCTGTGATGTACAAAGTGATAGTTGAGGTAATACAATTGTCAACAAAGTACATTACTGTATGGATCTAGCATATTTAATTACTATATCTAAATCTCATGCTAATCTGATGGATAGACAACTGAAAGATGATTTGTGGACTGCTTGATCTTGTACTTTTGCATGAAATCTGCTTGACATCTGTGTTTTCTTACCTGCAAAATGTTAGGCAATACACAAATAACAATAACAAAGAGCAGCTAAACTATTTTTAAAACATAAAATTTAAAGCAAATGATTAGGTTCTAAAATGATCCAAAACATATAATATGTACTTCACAGTACATATTATCAAAATAGGTTTAGAAAATACATCAAATCCATACAACTAAACCACTATGCAGTGAAAATTGTCCATCATTAAACCCTTAAAACAGAGAGTTAGCAATTAAGGTCTTTCACTTTCAATTCTTCTCCAGTTTGACGACAACAGGCTTTGATTTCTTAACATCTTTAGTTGAGGAGAATTGATCAATCAGGTTTCTTTTAGTTTCTGCTACTTCCAGTGCTTGATTATTTTCAGCAGTCCTTTGCTTCTTAGTTTGAGTCACATTTGGGCTACTGGCCTCATCTCCAGATTCAGATTCCTGTTTAAGAAATAAGTATACTTAAGTCAATGTTGTTTTGGTTCAATGTAAGACCATTAGTTTAATGCTTACTTCAGACTGTCCATCTTGGTCATCTTCATCAAGCATGATGGATAGGTGGTCCTGATCATCAACCAAAGATGGACAGTAATGGTGAACTAATTCGGCATCATAGGTTATCCCGACAACTGGTATAGGCATGGCTCGGTTCTTGAAATGATCGGCTTTAGCAGAAACCTTAAAAACCATTGCTTTGTTACGAACCTCTTCCATACCAGTTGGTAGTGGAGAGCCATCCTGGAAAAATGTTTTTAAATAACCAAGAGTTAAGTAGCAAATATATGTATAGATTATATATATATATAAATTTCAATTTGATTGCAAATTTATTTACCATTGAGTATTTGGTCCGGAGATCGTAGGCAGTCTTCCCAGCTATTTCACAGCCCTCCTTGTCCCATAAGAGGAATGGAGCATCAGTTGTCTTGTCACCTACCCTAACAACCAGGTTGTATCTTAAGGTACCCTCTTGCCACTTTGCACGACATGTTTGACATTGCAGACTTCCATCCTCCATGTTCAGCTTCTTAAAGCAGCCATCCGATCTACAGGAATGGTAATACCAATTCCTGGTACTCTCAACGGACACAATCCTTGTAGGTACCCAATAGTATCCTTCCTGTTAGATTAAAAATTTTAGTTAATGGTTAAGTTATGATTTAAACTAAAGAGTAGATCTAAAATTAGGTAAAATAGTACCTCTGCTCTTTCATAAAGATCCTTGATAGTGGTAACTACCATTGGAGACTTAGAATTTTCTGCACTATTGACATAAGACATCACAGACAAACTCTGTATGCTTCTTGGTGGGCTGTGAGCAACCTTCAAACTGAATAAAAGTAGAGATTTACAATTTAGTAAGAATTTATTTAAGATAGGTGATTAGTGAAAGAAATGAAGTTGCATTACCTATCTTTGAACTCCTTAAATTCCTTGCAATCATGATTGAACCATATTTGTGTAGCATTGTAGGAACTGGAAAGTCTGACTTCATCTACAAAATGGGAAAAGGGTAACTTAAAATCAGAACAAAGAATAAAAGTATATATGAAAAAAAAAATATACTGCACTTACTGTCCAATTGTTTTGCTCGACAAAGTTGCAGCAAAATAATCAAAGGACCTTCAACATGGTTCTTGAAATAATCGATGACAGTATCCACATGGTGATCCCACACTGTACACTTAATACGACATCCCCTAAAATTGAGATAAATTAAGCTGTAATCAGATACAATTATTACTCAAAATCAGAAAACCTTACTCTTATGTGTATTATTTGTTTTATTATGCATTTTATAGAGTATGTGTTTGAATTGAGTAATGAAAAATGTTTTTTAAGCTAAGATGTTTTTTTAATTTTTTTTTTTTACTTTGATAAATAAGTGAAGTATGATTAGTAATTGTTTTTGTACAGAAATCACAGTTGGGCCAAAAAAATAAAAAGGTTGAATTGCTAATATGGAAAACAGCAGATTGGATTATCAAGAACATATTTTGACCTGTGAAAAATCAAGAAAATCAGATAAGTTTTTTATATACTAAAGTCTATTAATTTTTTTTTTGTTCAGTAATTATGAATGTTTTAATTAAATACTATGTGTTTTACTTGATTAATACAGTGAAACAAAGCTAAAAGAGCACTGTAACTAAGCCAAACATTCAAACATCGAGAAGTTTGGAAGGAAAACCAGCTATGGTGAGTTGTTTAGGACTGTAGAACTCCACAACTATTCCAATGACATCTATAATGAAAATAAGGCCATTAAAAAAGAATAAATTAGAAAAATAAAACATAGTAAATATAAGATAGAGAAAAGAAATAATAGAAAATATATAAATCATACCAATCAAATGCTTGTCAGACACACTACCAGACATTAAGTCCGAAAAAGACTTAATCCGAAACATGAGGTTGGGAAATCCCTTTCGCCTATGTCTCTCCACATGAGTTTCATGAGTGAATCTAATCATGTATGTGTGATCAGTGGTTTTGTACTGATAGTAGTGTGAGATTACTGCAAAATCCTTTATAGCATAAACCTTGCCTTCTTTCAACAGTTTAGAAAACTGATCGACACAATCTTTTGGAATATTCCCATGAACATATGTGCCCTAAAAAGACAGAAATAATTGTTTGGTTTAACATTTTTGTAATTAAGATTTTCAGTTGTACTGGAAAAAAATAGATTACCTCACTGTCATGAAACAAACATTCTTGGCTTTTGATTGCTTATGAATTTCTCCCTTCTGGTACATTATAGGTTCGAATCAGTCTTAATCTTATTGCCTTTTTGTATGTAGATATCCTCAGGTCTTTACCTAGAATGTAGAGTGGAGCCATTGGCAGATTTTCAGAAACAGCAAATTTGAAAGAAAAGTGAATCAAACGTAGCTTCAAAATGAGAATGGTGGTAGAGAATGAAGATGTCGTACCAAGTTTTTATAGAGCCAAGTTTTGAAGGCTGAGATCAAACCACCTTTACGCACGTTTGCAGATGCATTATGATGATATCTGGGAAGAAGAAACAACACATATGGAAAGCTGCAAAAAATTTGAATTCATATATATATTTATGGATAGCCGTAGCTTATATATGTAATATATCTCTAATATGTATGTATTCGATGAAGATTTTTACATATAACCATATGCTTTGTTAGTAGCATTTAAGTCATCGACGGCTGAACAGATTCCAAGTGAATTGGGACTCCAAAAGGGGTTCTAAATATAGCTTTAGTTTTCAATTCCAATACAAACACAATTATTTGTTGCAGTTAGTATTTATTATTTATATGTATAATAAAATTGATTCGAAAAAATAGGCAACAAATTAGCCATAAAGAAAACGGCAGCGTTTTCACTGGGCGGGAATTTGCAGCAATTTGATTGGCCAAGATCTTATGGCTTTATTATATAGTAGGATACCAAGTATAAATGACGCACTCATGGCGCATGTGAAGGGAAATTTCGAAAGTAGCCTCAAATTTCACGGCAGTTAGACGGCTGTCCGAACAAAGGACCAAATTAGTTAACTTTTTAATAGTGGGAGGACTAATTTAGGTAAAAAATATAATCGATGACCAAATCAATAATTTTTTAATAGTCAAGGGACCAAATCAGTAATAAACTCACTCTAATTTAAAAATGAGTTTCCGATACGAATTTGAAAGTTGAAACGGGACTGCGCTTTCCCTCCGTCTTTTTGTCTCACACTAGGGTTTCGAATTCAGGCCTCATACTGGTTGTAACTCACTATCGAGTTTGGACATTGCTGTAATCGAGGTAATTCTCTTCCTCAATATCACCTATGGCTTCCAAGTTGCTTAATTTGTAGGGTAGCAGGGTTCGTTAGCCAATGTCAGATGCAGGTAAATTGCTTTTCTGTGTTTGACTGTTTTCACTTGATTCGTTCAGTATAGTTCATATTTATATGCCGAATTGCAATTGTCAATCCTCCTAGTTGATTAGCGCATATTTCATGGTTCAGTACACAATGTCCAGTCATTTATTTATTTATTTGTTTTTGATTATATGTGAATTTGAGTGAGGTTTATCTGTAAGGTTCCTTTCACTCTGTACAATTGTTACTCAAAGTTTTTTATATTTATATTGTCCTATGTCCTAAGAAGATTAAGAATTATCTTTTAAATTTCATTTAAAGAATTGCTGTCAATAATGCCTATATTTTATATGCTTTTCAACTGCTCTCTTGCATTTCTGATTGCTTCCTTAACAAATTTCAGGTTATAAAATTTCCAGTTGCTGATTGAGGTATGGAGCACTTAGAGCCTGAAAGTAGAGAACAAGATGTTACAGATTTGAAAGATGATAGCCTTATTTTTCCTATCCCATCAAAGAAGAGTGAAATCACAAAGAGTCAACACTTAAGGACAAATTTTGCATCTTCAACACCTGAGAAGACAACTGAGTTGTCACGTGTTGAACGCCCAAAGGACATTGCTGGACTTCCTCAAAAGTATGGTATTTAGAAATTAGTCTTAATTTTGTATTTAACATGAATAATCACCACTGAATTCAATTAGTGTTTCTTCAATCAACTCAGTTACAGGGCCTTATCAGAGTTATTTGATCGCATGGTTTGTTCACTGAGATTGCTTAGATTACGTAAAAAGTCACCTACTTTTCAACGTATTTCCAGTCAGGTGGAAGTCCTAACAGGAAGGTAGCTGCACTGCTGACTTTTTTCTTTTTTATTATTCTCACAAGTAAACACAGTAGTTTTTCCTGTCTTCTTCTATTTATAAGTTCATGAGGCTTTATATATTGAGTGCTCTTAAGTGTTTTATTTAATTATGTACACATGGACACTGGACACTCTTCAAACTCTATTTACGGGGTATATTTTAACATGCAAGATCCTTTGATTCCTTCTAGTTCCAGGTTAGGAAGATTGTCAATAAAGAAGCAAATAAAACTAATTCAAGTGTGAAATCTGTATTTGCTTAAAGATGATTACTTATCGTGTTAGGCTTCGAAGTACCTAACCCAAAGTAGATGTTCAAATTACTGTGATAGATATATGCTTGCATTTTCAAAGTCTGTGGGCTAGTTGTTCTGTGAGAGGATTTTAGGAGTGGTAATTTCAGGTACTAGTCATTGACCACCCTGACTAAAATGTAATCATTACTAAGGAGCTGCAAATGCTGTTAATTTGTATGATCTTTGGAAAATGAGATGATAAAAACAGGATTTGAGATTTTGAGTATTTGACTGATGCTAATTCATCTTTTCTTGAATAAACTCAAGGGATACTTAAGTGATCTTTTGGGCTTGATTTTGTGCTGATCCTTCGGCTCTTAATTTTCTTTTACCAGAAAGTTTCTCTATGGGCACCTTGCACAAATAATGTACATAATTCCTGAAGCTGTTCATATTGATAAAATACTTGTGCATGATGAGAAAACGTGTTGCATGAAGTCTGATATCAAAGTTACGTTGCATCTTGATGCTATGGAAGACCACCATGAGCATTCAATTTTTATGCATCTCAGCAATGTTTTCCAAGCCAAGCTCATTGATTTATTTGGTAAACATCCCGAGGTAATTTTTTACATTACATGTTTTTTCTTTGTTTTTCTACATATGGAAGACTCGTACCACTTTGAAAAATAGAACTTCTGCACAGCAAACCTAATTGGGATGGCTGTATATCAAAGAAGAGATCGGTTTCATGGTTTTTGCTAAAGCCCTATTTTTTCTTTCATCTAACCAGGACTGCAACATTCCAGAAGCTATTCTTCCGGAGCCATTTAGTGGAAGCAGTATCACTGCAAAACCATATTCATTGCCTGTTAATTTATCATCCCCCCTTGATACAGAGATATTGGAGTCATCCCATCTCAGTCCATCTTTAAGTTCACATTTCTCGCAGAAGGCTGTTGTTCCAAAAGAAAAGAAAACCCAACTTTTAGTTTCTTCCATCCCTTGTTCATTTGTTGATGATGGGCCTATCCAAGAAACTGAAAGTGAGATGGCACCTCCTAGATCATGCCCCAAAAGCCCCATAGTCACAGACTCTGTCCAACAAACCCAGCTCCTACCAGCTGGTAGCTCCAAAACGTGTGAAGACACACCTTTGAAGTTTACCTCAGAAAATAATAATTTATTACTTGAAACACCTGCACAGTCTACTCCAAGGAGATCTCTATCTGCTACTGAGGACAAGCACAAGAAAGTGATTAGCCAAAGTGCTTTGGCGTCCAATCTTACTGTGAAAAGGTCACTTATGGATGATTTGGACTGGTCTGAAACTGTAGATTCTATCTTCCCTCAAATGGATATTAAGGGTACATCTGCTAGTGGCAGTGTTACAACCAGTGCTATACATCTCTCTGAGGTACTTTTTATAACTATATTGTTTTCTAGTGGGTTTTATGGAGTGGATTGGCTGTTTTTAGGATTTGAGCCTGAGGTTACCTATTACCTAGCCCTCACTTTGCTTTTTTACTTTTAGAACATGGATTTAATATGGAGTATCACTTGCTTGGATTTTCTTTAGGTACTGTTTTTGATTGTTCTTGCATTTGCAAAGCACTGATATACATTGCTATGAAAGAGAATCACAGTCAGGCAGTTGGGGTGTGTATTCTGAATGACTAACAATATAAGTTTTACAATTTCATTCTAAATTATGTTCCTTGATTTTTAACTCTAGCTCTTTAACTCCTCAAAGAACTGATGGGGCAAAAATGCATCTTGGAAAGAAGTGAAAATTTTCACACTGATTCGAGTTTCTATGTTTTAGGCTCTTCCAAATAATTATATTAGAGGAGAAATCAGCTATTTTGAATTCATGATCACAAGTTAACTCAGCATCCTTCAGAAAATTAGTAAACAGTGAGCAGAAATGTCTTATGCTCTGTAGTCTCTATCTTTGATATCCTTTTTTGTTTTTGTATTGAAAACTTTTCGAGCTGTAGCTTAACTTTACTTCATAGGTGTTTTTAATTCTGCCACTATCTCAATCTCAGGCTGACTATTTTCTTTTTAATTCCCATAAACAGTGGTTTAGGTTTGCATATATTGACCGTCATCCACTTTTTTGACTTGCTGATAATGGATAATGTGGCTCATTCTTACAGGTTGAGAAAAGTAGTTGCGCTTCTGGTAAGGATAAGAGAGGCTTGCCTGTGCACCAGCAAATATATGTTGGTTTGCCCAACCTTGTACACCTAATTCACAACATTTTTCAGTCTCTTGGCCGTGATTCAGTCACAAAAGAGGAACTTTTTCACAAGATCTTAATGGCTGACTGTGACGTAGATGAGAACAGTATGCTAAAAAGCTGTTGATACTTTGTCTCCTTTTAGCTCATTTGTGGCCTACACCCTACTAAAATCTGCTGAATTTGTTGTCTGTAATTAGGTAACATTGAAGGACAAATAGATCTTCTTGAGAAACTTGTTCCCGATTGGATTTGCAAGAAGTTGGCACCAACTGGAGGCTTTTTGTACAGGTTTGAATTTTCAGTCCCAATGTGACTTTTTTGTATGTATGAATGAGATTGAACTTCCTATGAATGCGGTGTGAAGTATGGACTATACAATATAAGCTGCACATAAAATGGTAGTGTCAATTTGTTACTACGTGCACTAATGATCGATCATGTGGCCAACTAGTTAAGGTACATAACAGTTACATGTATGACGGATTCCGTATCACTTTTTGACACTGCACTCCTTGTCCCAGTAACTCCTTAGTTTCATTTTTCTGACATGGAACAGTTTCTGCCCTCTTCTTTGATACTTGAAAGGGATAATAGTGACATAAGATTCATCTGGCAATGAGCTGAATCAAACTTGAAGAGATTAATACTCCGTAATTCAGTTGATTGTTGTTGTGAAGCATGATTATTGATGGTTTTGCTGATTCTTTGATTATTTGTGATTGGGTGCAGCCTCAAGAGTGGTCCGGACTTGAATTCTGTTTGTGAAAGGCTGATTAGCACATGATGATGCTTTTCTTTCAATGCGTGCGTGTATCCTAAAGACAAATTACAAACGGTCTCTCATTCAGCAACAAAACAAATTACAAATGCAGTTAATATGTCCTTAGCAGCTTCACATCAGCGGATCAGGTTGATTCAGATGCATAACAATTTCCAACTCTTTCATGTGAGACTTTAGTTCTTTAAGCAAGTACCCATATCCCCGTGATTAAACCAGTGTACTTTGTATGATTCTTTTTTGTACCGGTATATTCTATCATGCCCCATTTCTCCGGAATGCATTGTTAGACAAACACATGAATTCAATATCATTTTCTTGATATGTATGTTTTTTCTTTCTTTCTTTTAAATCACAAGCGGTTATAATAGTATAAGCGTTATTTATGTCTCTCTTTGTGAAGTAGTAGTTATGCACAAACAATGTTGCAGAAGGCGTTAGTCGGGCACTCGAGCGTGCCTAGAGTGTTTAGTTGTCTCTTAGGCGTGATAGTACTAATACACGTGGACTAGTAGCTAAACTAGTCGCCCTAGCACAGTGTCCGACTGGTTGGCGGTCGGGAGCCTCTGAGTAAGTGCTTGTAAGGCGTGCCTGACGTAGTATACCGGTCTTTGAGTTCCTTCCTTGTTCGTCCGACACAACACTGCACTCACTGCCCGGTCAGATATGGCCAGATAAACATCGAGGTCCTCTTCGGGCTCGGGCTTAGAGAGAACGATCGGAGACATCAAATACTCCTTCAAATCGTTAAAGGCTAACTGGCACTCCTCATCCCAGACGAACCCATGGACCTTTCTCAAGACCTTGAAGAAAGGTAAGGCTCGCTCTGCTAATTTCGAAAGGAAACGACTCAATGCAGCCAACTGCCTGGTTAATTGTTGAACCTCCCGAACGGTGGTTGCGCTTGCATGTCGAGGATAGCCTTGACTTTCGCAGGATTGGGCTCAATCCCTCGTTTTGTCATCATGAATCTTAAAAACTTGCCAGTTTGAACGACGAAAGTACATTTATTTGGGTTGAACCGCAATCGGTATGTTCTCATAATCTCAAAATATTGACGGAGATCCCGACTGTGCTCCGCTCAATCACGGCTCTTTACTAGCATGTCATCAACGTAGGCCACCATGGATTGGGCTAACAACTTCTCAAACAGGGTATTGACCATGCGTTGGTAGGTTGTTCCGGCTTTCCTAAGATCAAAGGGCATGACCATGTCATCAACGTAGGCCTCCATGGATTGGGCTAACAACTTCTCAAACAGGGTATTGACCATGCGTTGGTAGGTTGTTCCGGCTTTCCTCAGATCAAAGGGCATGACCCTATAGCAATATAATCCATCGGGAGTAACAAAGGAGGTTTTACTCTCATCTTCCTAAGCCATCATGACCTGGTGGTAACCCTTAAATGCGTCCATGAAGCTTATCAATTCGGCCCCTGCCGTTTCATCCACCATCTGGTGAATACTTGGCAAGGGATATGGATCTAATGGGTAGGCTTTGTTCAAGTCAGTCAAGTCAATGCACATTCGCCATGCCGGTGGTTTGGGAACTAACTAACACTATGTTCGCTACCCAATCCGGGTACAACACTGGTCGGATATGCCCGACTGCGGCCATCTTTTTGACCTCTTCGCGTACAAATTCTCGTCGATCCGTCGAGAGATGCCCGGTCTTCTGCTTTATAGGTTTCGCGAATGGGTCGACTGCTAAGCAGTGACAGATGACTGACCGGTCGATGCCCGGCATATCCTCCGGGCCCCAAGCAAAGATGTCTGCAAACTCACGAAGTATAAATAAAATCTCAGCTCGTAGTTCCGGGGTTGAAGATTTTCCAATCTTGATTTTTTGGTTGGGTCGATCTCCGTGAAGCGGAACCTCTTCGATTTCCTCGGAAGGCTCGGGTTGTTCCTTACACCCTGCCTGAGCATCCTTCTGGTGTCTCTTCGATTGACCTTTCACCCGTGAGCTTCTGGTGTCTCTTCGATTGACCGCCTGGGAATAACATTTTCGAGCGGATGCAACGCTTCCTCGGAGGACACCGACCCCCTATGGAGTGGGAAACTTCATGCATAAGTGCGACATGGAAATAATCCCTCCGACCCTCATAATGGCCGGGCGACCCAAGATTGCATTATGAACGCAGTGCAGATTAACGACCACAAATTCCATCTGCGTCTTAATCATTCTTGGAGGGGTCCCCATCTCGACTGGCAAGCTTATCCTTCCCTCCGGGTGGATGGTATCTCCAGTGAATCCTAACAATGGGGTCGCGATCGGCATCAACTCGGCGGGGTCCAGCTTGAGTTTCTGAAAGACGTCTAAGTAAAGTACGTTGACGCTACTCCCGGTGTCGATCGTGACTCTCCGCACGTTGACCCCCATGATGTCGATGGTAACAACCAGCGCCTCGACCCCCTAATCCATATCATCTGGGAGATCTTCCAACGTAAACGTGATAGGCTCTATCTTTTGCATTTTCCCGCTCTCTCGCGACTCCACGATACCCACCGGGAGTCGCTCTGCCGATCGTGCACCATCCTCAATTCCTCCAAAGATGACGTGGATGACCTACTTCGAAGCCGGGGGTGGGTTGTGTTCAGAGTCCTTATCCTTCCCTCCGTGGTCAGATTTCTTCGAAATTCTCTTCCAAAAGGACTGTTTCCCCACACATCGATCCAATTTTTCTGATTGCAGCAGGTCATCCAGCACCTGCTTCAAGTACGTGCATTCCTCGGTATCATGCCCTCTACACCGGTGATAAGCGCAATACTTTGACTTATCCCTCCCGTCCTTGAAGGGCTCGGGGAGTTGAATCAAATTGCACGACTGGGCGTACCGCAACGCTTCTACCACCGAGCGATTTAGTGGGGTAAAGTCCGTTTGGCAACCCCGACCCCTACTATGCTGGTCTGGCGGCCGTCCCCCGAACGCCCTGAAGGTTTTTGACTAGGGCCCACTTCCTATGATCGCTTAGCGGCGTTCGCTTCCCCTGCACTCGCATAATCAGCCACTCTGCGTATAGCCTCTTCGTAGGTCAGAGGAGGGTGCAAGATGAAGTCTTGGTATAGGTGTCCTGCCCGAAGGGAGGAGTGTAGCATATGTATTGCTATTAGGTCATCCATGGGCTCGACCTCCCCGATCGCGCTCTTCTATTTAGCTAGGAAATCTCTCAAGGACTAACCCTCTAACTGTTTCGCCTTCTCCAAATACATGAAGTGTTTCCGGACGGTCTTGGAGGTCACAAACTTCCAAACGAACTTGGTTGCCAGGCTAGCGAAACAAGTGATCGACCCGGGCTCTAATGACTTGAACCACTCGGCAGCTCGACCAGTCAAGGTAGAATAAAAAGCGCGGCACATGACTGCATCTGTCACCCCCATCATTAACATGTTCCCGTAGTAAGAATTAACATGAACCTCCGATCCGGATTTGTCTTCCCATCGTATTCCTTGCTGCCCGGGATGCGCAAGTCGTGGGGGTACGACTGAGCCATGATTTCGGCTGTAAATGGCATCCGCAATAACGGTGTAGTAGTTTCCCCCGGGCCTGAACCATGTTCCTGCTGCTAGCGGTTGAACTCTTGTCGGACCTGATCCAACAATCCCCGAGCGTCAATCTGCACATCCCCCCGCGCAGTTTCCCAGGCCCTTCTACGCCGCGGTGCTCGAGATACACCGCCATTAGAGGAATCTTCCCGGCTAGCAGTCCGCATAGGGGAATCGACCGATCGCCGGTTGTCCTCCTGAGGTCAGAGTCGTTGACGCATAGGTGGCCTGAGCCTTCCAAAAGCGCTCACTCTCTGCCCTGGCTCCCTGGACAACTCAGGTTCTTCTTGAGACCGTTCTTGTTCACCACCCTCGGCCCCCTGGGACCCCAACCTCGAGTGAGCTGGGTGCGTGGGAGCTCGGGCTCGACCTGTGCTCTGCTGGCCGCTGGACCGGGGAATTGGGCCGGTGATACGGGCATGAAGGGCGGAGGAGGGTACATCTCTGGATAGAATTGCGGCACATAACCCCCCGGGGGATAGTAGGCGGGCGTACCGAGCCAAAATCGGTAAGCTGGATTGGGCGGCATGGGTGGATATCCCGGATTCTGGAATTGAGGCTGATTAAGGAGTGGGAAATTATTGTCCTGATGAATGACATGCAGTTGGTCGAGGGTAGCTGCTCGCCCAAGTGAAGAGTTGAGGTCCACTCGCGAACCACGATTCATCTGACGGTCTGAGGAGCTGACCTCAGCGTCCTCTTGGTAATACATGAATGGATACATGATTCGGGACTGATCTCGTCGTACGTGACTTCTAGTGTCGAATCCCCACAGACAGCGCCAAAATGATAGTACTAATATACGTGGACTAGTAGCTAAACCAATTGCCCTAGCACAGCGTCCGACTGGTTGGCGGTCGGGAGCATCTGAGTAGGTGCTTGTTCTAGAATCGGTCAAAAGTCGCCCTTGCCGTAATAAATGCGAGTATTTATAGACGAAAAAGCGGGGAACACGGCCCGGGCTACCGGCATGGCGACAACGTGGCGTGTAGGTGTCCTTATGCGCATCAAACTCCCGGCAATACCTAGTGACGACACGTAGGATTACGCGGGGCTGAGGTCCCGTGCGGCTGGGTAGAGTTCGGGCAGAATAGCGGTCGGGGAGGATGTCGGTCGGGAAGCAAAGATGACGCTCGAACCGTTCGTCCTCGCTCGAGATAAAGTAAGAGTAGGTCAACAGTCAAAGTATGACCGGGTGTATAACCTATCAAGGCGGTCGAGTACTTTGAGTATATCGCCTTTACTTTTTCCACTTAGGGCTATAAGTTGTTAGACTATTATAATTTCACAAACTAATCAATTACTTTTGGAAGAAGTCCACTATTTGAACGTTTGTTTTTTTGTCTGATCGATTGTTCAGTTAGCTCACTTGGAGTGCCACTTGAAGTGTTTTGTTGATGGCAAGATAAAGAATCATCTATCTACATAGTTAATATTTGAAAAATAAGAATTATTAAATCACCAAATGTTGGGACTTACGACTTAGAATTGAGGTCTGAGGATTTGAGGAGTTGAAATTATTAATTATTATAATAGTTATAATACTAGCATTTTGTACGCGCGGTGCATGAAAATTTATGCCCAACATTAAAAAAATTGATAAATGCAAATAATTACAAATTATAGTTCAAATTATATTTCAAAATTCCTTGAAGTAGTAAATATTAATCATCGTATTTAAAAACTATAGAGATGAACAAAATTTATATTTTTTATTAATAATGTAAACAATTTTGATATAATTTATACTTTGTTTTTACAATAAATAAATAAAATATCTATAATACTAATCTAGTACCCAGTCACATATATTAGTGTGTGGGCGTGCCTATATATACACACACATATGATTTACCATTCATAAAAATTTAATTAAAATATAATCAACAATTAAAGTAATTATATAATGATTTTAATAAAACGATAATTAAAAATAAGAAAAAGATGTGTATGATAATAATTATAGAGTTATGTTAAGGGTTCAAACCTCTCCTTGGACATTTAATTCATTATATATCTATTATCTATTATTATTATTTAAAAAAAAAAAAGAAAATCGATCGGTTTTTCAGTTCGATTAAGGTAATACTCGAACCGAACCGATCGGTACTTCAATTTGAGACCAAAGTTCGGTTCGAATAATCCGAACCGAAATGCCTAACCCTAATAAGAATATAGAAAATGAGCAACTAAGCAGGCAAAAAATATCACTCAGTCGAGTTGAGCGCCAACTAGGCGGAGTTAGGCGCCTAGTTAGCCAGCTAACTAAAAGCCACATAGGGCTAAAATAGTCTCGGCTTGGGGCACCTAGGCAGCCGTCTAAGTTAATTTTTACAACACTGCGCACAAGTGAAAGACAAATAGACAATAAAAGGAAAAATAAATAAATAAAGGGACTAATGAACCTACACTATAAACTAAGGTGTCTAAATGGCCAGAGATGTAGGAATTCCAGGGCAGAGGTACTTTAGTGGTAGTTTCTTATTGTGAGTGTATGAGCACACAATTTTCTAGAAATCTAATGGACTTCTTGATAGAATTGGCCAACTTACACTAGTTTTAGGCAGACTAACAATCCAGAATTCCTGAACAGAGATAGATTAAAGTGTACTCAAAAAAAAAAAAAAAAAAATCCAGAATTCCAAGGTCATAATATGGCAAAATATAATAAATATAAACCAAGAATAATAAATTTTCAAAGAAAGGTTGGGTAGAAACTCGGTTAACCCAAAATAAGTCTAACTCAATAAAGCACATTATGTAACGAGTACATCCATACCTGGTCTGATCTTTTTTTTTTTTTTTTAGTTAGCAAGCTCAAACTAAATCAGGCTAAGGTAAAGTGTGGAAAACACATGCTTTTGTGCAGAATGTCTAGCTAGTAGCTACCGAAAGTTAACTGTAATGTACATGCTACACAGAATTTACAGTACATTGAATCAAAACCTTAATACATCAATTGATATATGATAGATATTTGATACAACATGGTATAGCAACCCGCAGAGAGTTGAAACCAAGTGGGGATTTGGCAGTGCTGAATTCGCTCCAATTTGAAGACTGCCCGCCCTTTGACATTCTCAAGGCAATAAAACCACACGACGACCTGATTTGATGACGACTACAATTGGCCTAATCTATCCTGAAAATTTCAGAGAATTACAGCACATCAATGAATTTAAGCAAACAAGGAATCCCAGTCCTTCCCTGAGTCATGAAGCATAAATTGAGCATCTCGATAAGCTATTCAAGTAATGAAGAATACAGGCATGCAACTGAATACTGTTGAAACACAAAAGTTGTGTCTGTAGAAATATAACTGTTAAAGTTATGTAGGGTTGTGTCTGTAGGATTGTGTTTCTTAGTCTGTATATATTTATCTGTTGTCTCCCCATTGAGACAAGCAAGTAATACAAACTTCTTCTACATCTTTCTCAACATGGTATCAAGAGCCAAAGTCAAAATTTGAATTTTTTTTTTTTTTTAAGTGAACAGTACATGTTACTGTTCATTCGAAACTAGGGTTTCAAATTACTTGATATTGGTGAGATATTTTATCAAAGTTAATTCCAGCAATAGTCCCCTGACTATTGTGATTTTCCAAAATTAGTCCTCGTCTTTTAATTTGGACAAAAAAAACCCTTGACTATTAGATTTGTTCCAACATTAGTCCTTCCGTTAACATTCTGTTTGTTAGGTGTTAGTGTAAGGGCTAAAATGGTCATTTCCATAGGTGTTCATCTACTTTCTTCCACACATAGAAAGAGTAACTCCTCTCCCTCTCTAATGGCGTCTTGGGCACTGACTCCACAGCATCTCCGGCGCAGTTGGCGACTT